TTTTTAGTTTAAAGGGAGAACTTTTTGTTAAATTTTTTAAGATCTGTTTCGTTGCCGCCAGTGACAACACCCTGCATCAAAACAGATAAAAGTCAAATATATATAAAAAATCCTAATGGGCACAGTAAATTGTGAAGTGCACACTGTAGATAGGTGGGTGGTTGGAAATATGTGTGTTCAAGGTTTTCAATTAGCCTGCAGATACCAGGAGTTACTGTTCGATCCCCACGGTGATAAATCATGTACAATGGACCTGAATGATGAGCCTTTGTTCACCTTCAGTTTTACTGTGCAGACGTTGAGACACCAAATGAATGTGTTTGATTACATCCTTCTTTGGCTTCGGTGAATCGGGCGTCAGCGAAGTCATTAAACACTCTGTGGTTTTGTCCTTTACAATATAAAATAATGAGATAGAAAATGAAGTGAATATCTGCTACAGCGTACAGCATTGTGTGTCATTTATTGTTTGGTATTTCTTGTTTTCCACAAGTGTAGAATCTATGATTTTGCCCTTTATTGTTATTTGAAGGATGCACAACTTCCCATATCATTTCTAATTTAGTTTCAGATTGTTGAAAATGACTAGTATATTCTCCTATTGTGTATTCTGTGTTTCTAGAGTCCATTATGCAATTTAATATATATATATATATACATATGTTTTGTTCACATCTAAGAGGTTAAAATTCTCAGGTCATGATTTATTTACTCAGGAAAATGTAGGTCCTGAGGCTTAACTACTCGAGAGGCACTGACCTAGAAGAAGCATAGAAGACATACAGGACATACAATATTAACAAGCTGCCAATCATACGCCTGGGCTGCCTGTTGCATCGATGTGTCTGGCAAGAAAAAAAACAACAACAACAAAAAAAACAAACAAAACAAAAACAAAACAAAACAATAAACGGAATATCTACAGATTTTTTTAAATACAATTTAAAACAGGATTTGATGGTTAATGTAATAAAGGCCAAAAATAAACAGATACACACACGCCATCTTGGTTTTGGTCCAGTGGCAAGTGAGGCTAAGCTCAGGTTTGCTGATGATGTGATGATGAACCTGTGAGACAGGGGGCCTTGGGTCTCTGGACTACGACAATATTATAGCATAAGGGGCCAATGATCAAATATTCGTCCATTAACCATCCTCTCTTTTTGTTTTCTCTCTGTCTGGCTTCCTCCAACACACCACGTCAGAAAACACACAAACACAGGGGATGTCTGTTGTAAAAGGTCTTTTTTATGTGTCCACTGAGGTCATCGTGGGTGACCTTTGAAGGGTTTATAAAGTTAATCACAAACGACTAATAAGCATCATGTTGCGGATTCATAGAAAAGGTCTGTTGAGCTGTAGCCCCCTCTGCAGACCAAGAAGTATAACTGTTGCAAGAAATCCTTACGCCTAACTTAAGTAGATTGTTAGTTTAACCGGAATACACTGTAGACTTTCTTTGTATGCTTTTTCCTTTTTTTCCCAAATATGTATGAATGTAATGTTATCTTTGTTTTTCCCCAATACATTTGAAAATCTAATAATTTTGTTTTGTTTTTTTTCTTGCTAAGGTAACTATTTTGTACAATTGGTTAGTTTCTGGTAATTAGATTTATAGTATAAACCTTCTTTAATAACGCCTAACAACTAGTGTTATGTACTACAACTTTTTCTGTGTACAAAATCCTCAGGGAAGTACTGCGTTTGATTAGTACGTTTCAGAGACTGCCATCGCGGAAAGAAAGAAATTGCTCTTATTTTGAAAATCCAGGAAGTATTCCGTTGTTTGCTCGCCCTGCTGCAAACTAAGGCCTTCGTTTTCTGATTAAAGGTATCGTACGCGTGATTCGAACACATTTAATGTAAAAAGTACAAAATGTATGTTTTTGTTTTACTCTTGTGTATGTATCGTGGTACCACAAAATGTCATTAATATCAAACACCATTACCGGAAATCTGATCGTGGGGCAGACTAGCAGCTAACGCTAATAGATTCGTACTCCGTAAGACATGGTTTGGGAAAGATGCAAAGTGTTAGACAAATCCACTGCGTGCTACTTTGAAAATTGCGTAATTTAAGTAATTTATAGTCACTGTAACTTTATAACTTGAATTAATAAAAACACACAAATTCTGGACTTTTCACTTCTCAAACTGGCAAAGAAGAAAATCAGTACAAGGAACACTCAAAAGAATGCATGTTAGATTAACATACAAGTCAAAGATGTTTAACTATTAGGGAAACCTTTTGACAAAGTGGATATCATCTAAACATGGATAATGATTATTTGTGATTGCTTTGTTTTTTGTCTTCCTCCATATAGGGANNAGACTCTGAGTGACAAACTCAGAAGAATAATGGACAACATGACTGCAAACAAGAACAATGTACCTTGTCAGTCATGGGTTGGACAGAATGACTGGTCACAGTCTTCATCCCAAGGCTCTCTCCCAAACCCACTGGCCAGCTCTCACTATCTGAGTTTGAACCTGTCTTCGCAACTTAGACCTTCCTACAACTACCTGCAGGGTTCTGGTCAGAACTGTTTGAACATGCCCAGCACCATGTGCAACACTCACCACTCTGCCACGCACAAAACTGTGTACATCAACAGCAGTCCATCTTCTGCGACAATATTTGCCAACGCCTCTACGTCAAGCATCACTCCTAATGTTTCCATTGCTCAGCAAAGCCTTCAAACGCCATTAGCTCTGTTTACCTCAAACCAAAATAAAACCGTACCTCCTTCATCGCTGCCTCAACCGAATCAAGGAATACAGCATTTTGGATCTTCCGCCCTACCTCTTATGCCGTCCCTTGACTCCTACAGAGACTCGTTCTTGCAAACGCAGACCAATCAGGGTTTGCCTAGTGGGCTACAGGATCTATCTGTGAGGCTTTCCTCATGTGGGCAACATATAAATACATCCCAGGTTCCTAGAGTGAATGTGGAGTCTGCTATTTCTGCTGAATACACTCAAAACTATGGCCTGCCCACTGCTCGGGAGCAGCCTCAGTGGACCCCTGCAACGCAGAGTTGTCGTAAGATGTACTTGTGTGTTAATAATATATTTTTTAGAGGTTAAATATTACGAGGTTGGGGTTAAAATTCCTCAATCTACTGGCTGAGTTTTCACATACAGATATGCCGTGGTATAAACAAAACAGGGCAAGTGATACAAATCTAAAGAAAGGAAAATGGCTTTTGAATATTTTATATTTAATTTATATATTAATAAAATAGTAATATTTGACACATTTGATTTTTTTTTTTTCAATGTTATTTTATTCCACAACAATTGATGAAAAAACATACATGAAGTGAAACAACTTAGGCGCATTACTGTCACCTACTGGGCACCACGTGTAGTGTGCTGCTCATGGGTTTTTATATAGCAAGATTAGTTAAGCTTTCCACTTGCAGATTTTCTATTAAAATCTTCTGACACTAAATAACACATTAATAATTAAAAGAAAAGTTAATGTAACCTTAAACTTTTTCCATGTTAATTTGTTCAACAGTAGTTAAGGGAATAAGACGTTGCCTCCTCTGACTTTGTTGTATTTCTCTTCTCTTTAGGGTCTGTTAACAAGTCTGTGTTTCATGTAGCAACACATCATCACAACGAGCAACCACAGAACAGCACAAGTTCACCGGTAAGGAGGTCAAATCCAAACTTTGCACATAAATAAGAAGTGTTTTAAGCTGATTCAGTTTTTGGTTTAATAATTAATTATGTGCAACTACATAAACAAATCAATTTTTATTCCAGCAGAAGATTCAGCGATCAGTACTATTATACCAGCGTGCACAACTACTGAAGCATTTGGAGGAGGTGGATAATCTTGTAAGTGTTTTTTCCCCAATATCTGAGAGTACTGTTATTAGAAGATACTTGTGGATAATTCCAAAGGTCAGAGCTTAACAAATTTGCCCCAACCCTTTTAGCTTGATTCATTACCTCCTGTTGACACCGATGATGGACAGACAGTAAACACAGCTTTGGAGGTCTGTTAAGTATTTTAGTTCACTATAAAATAAATTCCTTTGCTACATATGGAATGTTTTTCTTGTCTCAGTCACACCTTCCAGCAGCTAGTTCATCACCAGCCACCTACGATAACAACAATGACATTTGTGATGACAACAATGAAAGCTGTGATTACAACAATGAGACCTGTGATGACAACAGTGTGACCTGTGATTCACAAAAGGATCCAGTGTCAGCAGGGAAAACGGAGGTAGTTACTAAACCCATTTTTTTTCTACATTAGTGCATGGTCTGTAGAATTATTATAGGGACTTATATTTCTCTTTTTTTTGTTTTCCCAGATACATGAAACTACCTTAAGTGACTCAGACGATGAGAGTGATTCTGATTACGTACCGGAGAATGACGTGGATGCTGAGTCGTCAGATTCCACTTCTGACTCTAACACCAGCTGTTCAGAAAAATCCCACCACAGTGTGTCACCGCCTCCAACTGACGACGAACCTGCTTCTAACAAAACTGTGGCAACATCGCAGCACACCAAATCCAAGGACAAACCTGAAAATGACAAGAAGGCCTCGGAGATCGTAGTGATGACAACTTCTAAATCGAAAAGTCAACGTGTTTACGATAGAAGGAACTACTGTTTGTTTTGCTCACGGTCTCAGCTGAAAATGCCGCGACATTTGGAGCGATTCCACAGCGACAGACCTGAGGTGGCAGTTGCCTTCCAGTACCAGCCAAAATCCAAAGAAAGAAATAAGATATGGAGAAATCTTGTGAACCAAGGAAACTTTGAACACAATAAAAATGTGTTTAAAACAGGAAAAGGAATGCTGGTTGTTAAACAAAGGCCAGTTACACCTGGACAGGCTGATGACTACCTTCCCTGTTTCCACTGCCATGCTTTTATTCTGAAGAGACACATGGCCAAACATGTGAATAA